GTTCAAACCTGAGACAGGCACGCTGGCAGAAGACAGCAGCTGATGGTGCATGGTGATGCTGCTCCTGTAAGAGCAGGCTCCAGCACTGCCAAGAAGGTTGTCCCGAGGAGATACCCACCACAGCTCCTCACAGCTGCCTGTGGTGGGTGGACACGAGGCAGCCGGCATAAGGCAAAGCATGACAGGTTCAGACTGAATATAGGGAAAATCCTCTTCATGGTGAGGACAGCTGAGCAGTGGAGCAGATTGCTTAGAGAGGTTGTGCAGGCTCCACTTGTGGAGGTTTCCAAGACCTGGCTGGAGCAACCTGGTCTGATCCCAGGGCTGACCCTGCTCTGAGCAGGTTGGACTGGAGACCTTTCCAGGTCCCTTCCAACCTGAATTCGTCTCTGCTTTTGCCAAAAAAACCGCAAACAAAACACTACATTGTGCTGCAGAGAAGTGTCTTTCAGCAGTTTTGTATTAATTGTATAGATTATGGCTGTTAGTTTTACAAGTGGGAGTTTTATGATAAGCATGCTTAGAATATGTATGGACTCCCATCTTAAAAGCAGAATTCAGTACCTGAGCAAAATGTTTGTGGATGCATTAGTTGATTCTTGGCTTAAGAGGTAAAAGAAACATTATTTTGCCTTTAGAAGAAAAATAATTCAAGCATCTTATTCTTATGAAAGATAAAGATGATATTAGGAAGTAAAAACAAACTCATTGCTATGCATAGGCAATTCCCAGCCTGGCCTGGATGGATGATTATTATTGTTGTTACTATTATAGTAATAGTAAAAGAAAACTGTGGATTTATAAAATATTCAAGACAGAGATGTGGCTGTACAACTTGTAGACAGGAAATGGGTTATTAGTGTTTTAATATGCACAGTTACGGGGTGTTACTTCTGCACTCGCTTAATTTTGTTTATTTTGAAATGTTAATTCTTAGTACATACCTAGGTTTTTAATACACTGGTCTGTGGGCTGCGTCGTGCCATTGATTTTAGGCAAACTGCCTATTGTTCTTAATAGGGCAATCTGCTGATTTAAAAAAAAAAAAAAAAGTCAGTGGTGTGACATGGCTTGCTAAGGGATGCATTTTTGGTATTAAGCCAGTCAGGTAGCAGCTCCCAAGAGCATTGCCCCTGCAGACAGAGCCTCTCGTTGATGCGCCTGCGTGGTGGGCATTGGAGT